GGGGAAGTTGGGGTGGAGGGAGGAAGGGGACTCGTTTGTATTGGTTGAGGAAAAATAATGAAAAAAGTACTTATGGAGGTATCTTGTTGACGTCAAAAGCTCTTATTGCTAAATTGATTTAAGCAGATCTGAGAAAGAAGATAAAACAAAAGTACAATGAACATACGCCATCAATACTGATGGAAGAAAAAGATGAAAACTAAAGTAGAAAAAACGTGTTTGGAACCGTTACAAACCTCATTTCACATAATTCTGTCTGAATGAATAGAAATTGCCTGTAAAAAGAAAAAAATACTTGCTACAATCTAAAACTTGAATAAATAAATAAATAAATAAATAAATAAATAAATAAATAAATAAATAAATAAATAAATAAATAAATAAATAAATAAGTAAATAATAAATAAACAGATGAATCAATATCTACCTCTCTTCCCAGGCTCTGTAAAATTTGACACAGTTTCGGGAGTCGTGGATTTGTTCGTGTTTGTGCACTTCCTCCAGTTTTTGTTTCCTATAATGGAACACAAAACGACAATATCAAAACAAATAGCGACGAAAATGGTGGTACTAGATTATCATTAGTAGAGGAGAGCTTGTTGTTAAAGGCCTATATGTATTCCTAAGAGATGAAGCGGCTACGCAAGCAAGTCGTGCTCCAGGCATATACAGTTTGTTCAATCGTCAGATTGCGCAATTCGTCTTGTTCCGACAAGAAAATGTTGGGGAAGGCATAACATTTGGCAATGTTATTCGTGATTTGGTTATGTGAAACGGTATCTACGTACACACATATCAGCCATTGGCGTTCCCTATCGGTGACATGGGCAATCCTTATCGGTGGTGACATTATTTAATGGACGTCCCAAATAAGAAAAAGGGCGTGGCTTAACAATTTCACCTTCAAGAATTTTGAAACTGCTGCCCATTGCTATTATCCGCATTGTCTGAAAATACTTATTATTTTGACCAATATACATCAGTGGAAAATCAAGAAAACGATCAAATAACTACAGCTCGTTTGATTACCAAGCCAATTATACTTTGATTATACTTTACATTTTCTTATAAAGATACTAAATATTTTATCAAGCTTCGATATTTATAAAAAATTTTTGTTTTGAGCCTGAATAAATTCTTAAAGTTCTTGAGTTGAAATTTTTCAAAATAAAAAAGAAAACTGCGAGTTGAGGCTGAGCGATATTCTTATGATATTCTTAAAAATTTGATGATTCTGAGCCTGAAAATTCTTATAAACAATTTTTTTTTATATAAAGCGTGTAGATTAACTCTATATATCAGGCGCCCAGGTACATACAACGACATAGAACTCGCAGATGAACCATAATATTTACGAGGCAAGAACAATATGTAACATTATATGAAATAAAATGAAAGTATATAAACTTATTACTACTATGGTTTAAAGTTTTCTATAAAATTAAGAATCCGTAGTTAAAAAAAGGTCACTGAGACTAATGAGAGGGACCCAACCTGTGCCAAAAAACATTTAATGATACCTTACTTAATAATAACCCCTTACTTAATAAGATCTCGCTTCCTAACGTTGCATTCTCTATTTATCAATACCCCCTGCTTAATAAAACATCTCCTACTTAAAGATATTTCCCTACTTGATAATACCCCCTAAATAGCTGTTTTTGTGGACGGGGTGGACGTTCTCCGGTCAATTTTGGTGCAGCAATATACTCCGCACTGCGAAGGAGAACGCGATCTGCGAAGGAGGAAGGAGCAAAGAAAATATTTTTCCTTCACTCTCGCCTTTTTCCTCCGCAGTCACATATTTATCACTTGCGGCTAGGTTTCTACCTCACAATCCAGATATTTTGCTGTATAGAATTAACTAAAGAATAAAATTCTGGAAAGTTAACTGAAAGTAAAGTTCGGTTAACATTAGTCTTTCACGGAAGGATTCCTCGAAAACACACTTCAGGGCTCGCTAATCTATTCAATTGTGACGCCATCGTTTAGATTCCCACAGTCGTTTTGCGTCCAATAAAAAGCAGAATCGATTTGACGTAACAATCAACGTCGCACTGATTGTCCAGTATAAAAGCGCGCGCTGGGATAAAATTAGTCTTACTTCGGTTTTTACAACTGTGAGTATCGGTGCAACTTCACTTTTGAATTTGCACTTACCTTTGTGTTTTCGTGTTATCATTGAAGCACAAAGCGCGACGCAATGTCGAGTTTCAGTGCGGACGGTAGCGTCCGCTGTTGGGTATGCATGAAGAACGGCGAGAACCGGTTTTTCAACGGTCACGCCGCGCGGAAGGTCCACGAGGAGACGGTGCACGCACCACGCTACTCGCTGGGCAATATTGTCAACACAGATGCAAGTTTTCAGTCGCAAGACAAGCAGTATGTATCTACAAATGACAGAGGTGGGTAAAAACCTTAAATTTAAATTAAGCGATATATTTCTGCCATCTATTATGTTTGAAAACTGAATCAAAGATGAAAGTAAAATAGCTTTTATTCTAGTGATTGATGCCACTAATATTTAGATAAATAAATTCAAACTTAGAAAGTACTCCTTTTAAATCTAGAAAATGTTATTCCCTTTTTCCACATTTTGGTAAAAGACAACAGGTTGGAAACCTTTACATAGAGAGGGCTTGACTCTCGAATGTTCGAACGATCGCAAAACAAGTGCCTTCTCCGCTAAGATCAATGAATTTCAAATTACCTTAAAACAATTTGATAACTAAAAAATTATATAACATCTTCGTATCTCTTGAATTAGCAGCTACTTGAAGTCTTCTACATCTAGGATCTAAATTATTTCAACGTATTTTTAATCCGTGCAATACATACTAGCTAAACAGAGGCACTGGCCTAATAAAATTTTAATACTCAGACACAACAACAGCTTAAAGTTTATACTTCGCTTGTTCATCTAGAGTATTCAAGTAACAATGCCACGCCACTGAAGGCCCCCATTGCAAGTTACAAACAACTTGAATACATTAAGCGAAGATTGCGCTTTCAAGACCAAAGAACATCATCAGAGGGTCCTGAATGCTACAACTTGGCCAAGGTCGATCAATGGCTCGAGAACGGAGCAGATCTTCGTGATTATGAAATCAAATCACTTAACGTGAGGTAAACAACTTTATATTGCAACATTTGATGCCTCTCTCTAGCTAAAAAATCTATCAATATATGATTACATTTTTGAAGGATCTATGCTCAAAAATTTTCGGCAGGTTGTTTCGTTATTTGGTTTCGTCATCAACCCCGGGAAAGTTCGTACGTCTTTGAAAAAAATCCCTTTCGTTTGTGAAAAAATAGTCTCCAATTTCCAAAAATCTTACTGTTATACAAAGCGTCAGACAACTTTGGTGGAGATTCCTTGGTTTTATCAGAAAATTATTTGCTTTTATTGAAATCTTGTTAGCTTTTTGTGAAAATGAATTGCCCCTCAGTGAATACGCTGTTTTGGCTTCCAAGTTTTGCATAAGCAACACACCTTTCGATATTGAAAATGGACTTTATAACTCCATTTAGCAAAGTTTGCATTTTCTGAATTTAGAGTGCTATCTCAGAATTTTTTCGGAAATAGTTTAAACATCAAATAAAAACAGGAAGTTGGAGCAGCAAAACGGAATTAGTCCCAGATCGCTTCTAGAGGAACTACGTAATTTTCCAAACTTTCTTAATCTAATTTTCATAACTTTGTTTATATTTAATTTTCTTAATTTTTTTATACTTAATCGTTCTAGTTAATTCTTGAGTTAACTAGCGGCTCGTACGAGCGATTTCTCAACAAACTGTGCGCGTGAGTTGAAGCTCACAAAATTAGCCATTTTTTAAACAGGATTAAACAAGCAATGGATGAAGTTGATGCGAGAAATGCAACTGTGAAGAAGTTGCAAGCAGAAATCGATCGATTCCAAACGACGTTGGGTGAATCTCAAGTTGAAGAGGCGCAGTTACAGCAAGAGCTTGAAGCGGCAAAAAGGCAGCTTAGGAATGCCACTAACGAGCTGAATCAAGCTCTTGGTAAGCAAAATGAAATATTAAGTCTTAACTATAGAAAAACTCGCGAAACTGGGAGTTATATTTAGAACTCTCCTGTCCTACTGAACATAGTTTAGCCTTTACTAAAGTTAGCGGTGAACGGTCGACTTTTTAGCAGACAAGCTTTACAATAACCTTGAGCTATCACAGACCGAGGTTATTCATGATGGAAGTCATCTCCTTCTTTATTCGCTCATTACTTGCAAAAAAGGATTTCCCACAACCGAATTAGGAAAACACATGGCGGGTATTTATTACAAACAAATGTTTTGGAAAAAGGCCCCATTAATCAATTGGTCTGTTTCTATTTTGAGTTTAACAAAACATGAGCATATTTGAGTCTAAATCACGAGTTTTGACAAATGCCTTGCCACCAGCTCCTATTTTTGATCTATTTATTCCAATTATTTGTCTCTCGCTACGGCACTGGGGCGGCCCTGCAATAATTTAATCAATAGAGGTGGGTAATTCTGAGTAACTGTACGTGTCACTTCGCTGCAAAACTAGCGCAAGTTATTTAATGTCACTTTAAACCTCAGGTGCCATTCAACATGAAAGAGACCAACGTATGCAAATGCAGCAAGTATTAGAAAGTCGACTGAATTCGCAAAAGATGCAAATCGTCAAGCTGAGAGAGGAACTTGAAAGTGAAAAACTGGTAAGTGCTGGATGTCCTGTATGTATGTACGAAAGAGTGCAGACAGCATCGAAAATGCCAATAAACGTTACTGAATAACACAACATTTTTTGGGGATTCAGTTGAAAAAAACAACTATAGCCTTTGGTATTGACCGAGCATATATGTCATAAATATTTTGGTGGTACAAAATTTTGAACAAAAGGTTTTGAAAAAGCGAACATTTTACAGCATATTGAAAGCTTATTCGGCTGACACTCCTCAGAGTATAAAGCGTCAGAACAAGATCCAGAAAGTACAAGATGGAGAATATACAAGGTGAAGAGACGCAATTTTGTATCGAAATAGGCCAATCAGGAAAACGCCAGCACATGAACGGTACAGCTGTGTCTATAGGAAAATTACCACTAGAGTCCAAGAGAGAAAACGAACTCCTTCTGTCTACACAATGGCGACTTTGTTGTTTGTATGTTCATCGATTCCAAAACTGCTAGATGAAAAGACGACCGAGCTCTATCAATTATCTAAAACATGTCGTCATTATAGATTTTGGCACAACCTGGGTTAATTAAAAGATGTTGTACGATGACAGAATTTGTCCGATGGGTATAAATTTTCCATCTTGTGCTTTCAGACCCTTATTCTGACAATTTATACTGCGAGGAATGTCAAACGAAAAAGCTTTTAGTATGTTGTAAAAATGTTGCTTTTTTCAAAGGCACAAATGTTATCTTTTGAAATATACAGTGTCTGCGTCTTGATGTCACCTGCGCTAGATTTTTGGCACACGCAGTTCTTAACCATATTAATCTGAACGTTATTTGAAACCACGGTGTTTAACATTTGTCCACCTGATACATAGATGATTAAAAAACGGGAGATCGACTGCGACGAAGTCATCCAGATAAAGAGAAAGAATAAGCAGATAGAAAAGGAACTGATCGTTGAAAAACGTTTGAGGCTGGAAGAAAAACAGAGTAAAGAAGAATGTGAGGCGGAGATTGATGAGCTGATGGCGGAAAACTCGGACATCAAGAAGAAGCTGACACGATATCGTCATGATCTTGAACAACTTCAAGATGAAAACAGATCTCTTGTCGCCGATTATAATTCTATGATGGACAGAGGAGACGCCAGAGAGGCTGAACAACAGATCGCCTTACTGCAGCAGTTAATGGAAGAGAGACTTAGCGAGGAAACAGCTGACTTTGCTCGTGAAATCGAAAGATATCAACAAGATAGCGAGGAGTTTAAGATCAGGTTTGAGCAAACTGCTGCTGAGCTGGAGAAGACGCGATCTGAACTAGAAGGCGCAGTTTTGTATAGACAAGATGATATTGATAGGTTGCTGCAAGAGAAACAGAATTTAAAACTTGAACTCAAGGCGAAAAAGACCAAGTTGAAGAGCTTAGAGGCCACTAATGAAAAGCTGACAATTCAGATAAATGACAAGGAACGTCAATTAGCAAAACAACATGCCACCAAAAGCAAAGATGACAACAAATCTGAGACAGAGGGACAGCTTTACGAAAAACGCAAAGAGATCGAGCAACTGCAGAACAAAGTGGTAGAGCTTGAAACATCACTTACTTCCAAAAATACACAGTTCAAAGAGGAGAACATGAAGCTCAAGGAAGCCCTGCAGCAGCTTCAAATGACACAGGTTAAACTCACAAGAAGCCAAAGTGATGAAGACCTGGCAACACAAAACGAAGAGCTACGTAGAAATCTCCACCAGGCGCAAAAACAACTGCTGGAGGAGCAAAAACGGCTTAAAGAGGTGATGACGTCACTTGAAGACGAAAAGGAGGCTTTTTTGTCCACTTTTGAGGAAGAGAAAGCAGATCTGAACGAGAAGCTAGACAAAGTTCTTGAAGCCAACGTTGATTTTGAGAAGAACTGTATTCAACTAGAGACCACCCTGCAGGAAAAAGAGATGAAAATCACAGCGCTGCAACAGGCGTTGAAGGACGTAGAGGCAAAGAATAAGGATATTTTGTTTGAGGAGAACAAAGCTGTCAAAAATAGCCTTGCAACGTCACAAAAAGAGGTGAATATTCTTAAAGAGCAGATTGCACGTTTAGAGGAAAATCTTGATGTGAAGCAGCAGGAAGCAACATCTCAATTGAAGAATTTCAAGAAGGAAATTCAGGCATTAGATGAAGAAAAGATTACTGCAAAGAGCCAGGTTTCTGAGCTAATGAGCAAGATTGAACAAATAAATGCAGATTTTTATGCAAAGGAAGAAAAGTTCCAAACAGAAACACGCATGATTAACGTGCAGCTCCAACAAGCAAAGGAGCAAGAAAAGAGCCTTGCAGATGCCAACATCGCGCTAAAGGCCCAGATTGCCAACCAAATAGATATTGAAGCCAACCTTGAGAAAAAGATTCAAAATCTTACAGATGCCAATAGAGAATTAGAAACAGCAAATTCAACCATAGCAAACCTGGAAGGAATAAAGAAAGGGTTAGAAAGCAGTTGTGTTGATTTAAAAGCAGAGTTAAAGTCAAAGGAGGAAGAAATAAAGCAGGCTGAGGCAAAACAAGATCATTTGTTCAATGAAATCAAAGAGCGTGAAAATTTGTGTGGCAGACTTGAGGCAAAGCTTTTGAAAGTTGAGGAACAGCTCAAGGAAAGCATTGAAAATGCTGAGCAGAAGATTCTGAATCAAAATAGTCCTGCAGAAGATAAAGGACAGTCTGAACTAAAAATTGCAGAGCTCACAAAAACAAAGGAATCGCTAGAGATAGAGAACAAGATGATGAAAGAACAAATAGTGAACATTGAGAAGCAGAAAATGAGCCAAGAAAGGGATGCTTATGAGAAAGAGAAGGAACTAATGGGTAAAATTCAAGAGCTTTCAAAAACAAACGAAGAGGTGCTGAAGAGGGAGAAGCAGGTCGTGATGCAAAATCATGAAATGAAAAAGACACTTGACGCTAAAAACCTACTGCAGACGAGTCTTGAGGATGAAATGAAATGCCTCAGCAGTAAGCTTGAGAGCAAAGAGAAGGAGCAAGCAGAGACCACTTCTGCAATGGGTGCATTGCATAAAGAGAATGAAGACTGGCAAAGAAAGTTTGATGATCTTGCTTCAACCTTAGCAGATACAGAGGCTAATATTCAAGTACTTGCTAAAAGATCAACAGGAAACGAGAAAGAGTTGAAAGCGCAGAATCGAGCTCTGAAGCAAGAGATTGAAGCAGCTAAATCTGACCTGGAAGTGAAGAACACCGAGCTTGTTCTTATGGCGAAAAAGGTTGACAGTGGGGAATTGTTATCCAAAACGATTAGTGAAAAAAGCGCCGAGATAAAAGCGAAAGATCGATATATTGAAGAGCTTGACCAGGAAAATAGGAAATTAATCACCGAGACAAGAAAATTTGGAAGTGTAGTTAACGAGCTTGAGGAGAAGGTTGAAAAGCTTGAATTCGAGTATGATGGGTGCAAAGAGGAAAAAGAGATTTACGAAAAGGAGTTGGAGAAGCAAAAGGTTAACAATCATTATCTTAAAAATACTGCGAAAGATTTAGCAAAAGCTCGCGAGAATATCCAAGAGCTCACAGCCAAGAATAATGAGTTGCTTTTGAAATGTGAGCAACTTCAGGCAAAACTGGACCAAGGGAAAAAACCAGAAGCAATACAGAATAAAAGGTAAGTTAACTTCTTGACACTTTAATCCCCCCTAAAGAATTTCTCAGTCTTGACGTCTTATAAACCAAATCATATCACAGTGTTAGAATATTTATTAAAAGTTTTTTAAGAATTTATAGAACTGCCAGGTTAAATAAAGAAATAGATTTATCCAAACATAAAATATTAAAATTTGCATTTTGAAATCCTGTTGTAGGTAAGTCAGTCTTCCCTACTTTTGATGTAGGCTAGTATCCGAGGATACAAGTTTTCCAGTAAAAATATAAAAAATCTTCTTTGCGGCAGTTGAAAAGCGAAGTGCGGCGCAATCCTTCAGCAGAAAATGAAATATGAAATACGTAGTGAAATTTATTATTACAACAAATTGTTACCATATCTATATTTCAGCTCTGAGGAAAGTTTAGGAAACAAAGAGGATTCTTCATACGAATACGAGTCGGACTTCGAAGAAGAGAGCGAGTGTTCAGGGGAAAGCGAAACTGAATTGACTCCAAGGTCGGAGAAAGAAGATGCAAACGAGAAAATGAAACAAACAGAAAAAGACTGGCAAGTGGATGATGCCAATTTTGATAATGATGATGATGACTTTTGGAACTCTACCTTTGACAAGACACCTAAAACAGCAACTGAAAATGCTTCAAGACCTAGAGATAAACGTAAAAACGACAAGAGAAACTCAATGGCCGATGAGATTATGGAAGTTGGAGCGAATAAAAATGCCTCTGAAGACAGTAATGATGAAGTTCAACCGAACAGCAAACAATTCATCAAAAAAGAAATCGGAAGAAAAGTGGAAGGAAAAACAGGTGAGGAATGAAACCAAAATGATGCAATTAAATTACGCACACTTATGCGAAAAATTGTTGGAAAACTAGTGTCTTTGGCCAGCACCAAAATTTGATCACCATCACGCCCCTTGTCTTATTCGACAATATAAGCTATGATTAGGTGTAGCATATCCCTCTGAATTGTTTCAATTCGTTAAGACTATCAAAAGCATGACAGGTGACAAACTATTGATGGCTATAGCAGGGTTGCCAAATGGGAATAACAAATAAAGGCCAGACTGGTGACAAACTCTGGTCAAAATGCGCATAAAAAGGCAAAATTGAGAATTCCCCCCAAAACTGCGCGAAGTGAAGTATATATTGCCATGAGCCTTTTAGATAATTTCCAAGCTCAAGAAAGAAACTGAGAAATTTTATCCTTCAAACAAATTCCTATGCTAATTATTAGGTTAGTTGATAATATTTGACATTTTAGTTTACACTACGTAGTATTGCTCATTCAATTCAACATTTGTTTGTTATTTAGGGTGCTTAAGTTTATGTAAAACAAAGGAATGAACTCATAATTTTTAGAAAGGCCAAATTTAAGTAGTATGCGGAAATCAAATTTTCCAGGCCATCTAACTCCGAAAAAGGCCAAAATTGGAACATTTGGTTTGAAAAAGGCCAATCTGGCAACCCTGAGCTATAGGTCAAAAGTAGGTTCATTTTTCTTGAAAACATTTCGTTGTTTCTCGATTGACTTATAATGTTTGTCGATCTTATAAAATGAAAACACATTAATGTATGGATGTGTAATGCAAATTTCTTTCAAAAAGTTTTAAACACATTCGAGGAAATATTATAAAAATTATGAAGAAGTAAGGCTGATGATTTAAACTATTTATTGCAGTAAAAATGTTGGGGAAAAATGCGTTTGAAGACGAGGAGGACGACATGCTAAGTAGCTTTGTGGCAAAACAGAAGAAAAACAAGTCAAAATCTTCACTAAAAAAGACAAAAAACGTCACGAAAAAAGAGCAGATGACCAAAGATTTGGGCTTTGATTTGGAGATTGATGACCTGATATCTGATATTGAAATGAGCAATCAGGACCAAGGAAATTTTGAAATAAAGGAACCAAAAATAATGAGTGCCTCAAGTCAAAGAGATCCTGGTAAAATCTCAGAAACTGGTATGAAGGCAAAACAAAATGGTGTTTCTTTTGGTCCACCTCTGTCAACTTCAAAAGCATTAGGAAAGAACATGCTGCTACCTCGACTGGGGCCAAAACCACAGTCACTTCCACCATTACGCAGTGTAAAGAGGCCAAACTTTTGACTAGCATGCTATATATTTTGCAGTTATATAATTTACACATATTTGATACTTTGAGAAACTTTTTACCATGGAATTTAATTGAAAGATTTTATACCTAAGTTGATATATGGATATATGTACTGACAATTTATCATTAATAATGTTTGAATTCCTTTGTGTCTCATCTAGTATTTTGGCTCAGTGGATAAAAGTCAAGTTACAAAAGGCTTGTGTTTCGTAATTGAATTTTAATATTTTAAATTCTGGTATAATATCAAATTAGAAACTCTCAATGTTAACCTCCTCTCAAATATGTGAGTCAGTCACCAATGATGAAAATGCTAAAGGATGGCCTGTGAAGCTCCATATGTGTGCCCTGTCTTTATAGCTATCAAGAATTGGCAGCAATTTGGGGAAAAGCATAAGTCCATAGGAATATAGTCAAGGGGATAAATAACAAAATCTTTTTTTGGGTTGGGTTATTAATTGTTTTGGTTTCTAAATTTCAGATAAGAATCATCAACAACCTTGTTCTTAATGAGTAACTGAGGTCAAAATTTTTAGTAAAAAGCCTTTTAGATTGTTGTAAATGAAAAAAGTAAATCTCTTCACCACAAGGCTTAGGCTCAACACAATACATCCAGAGAGGCAAGGCAAACCAAATTGATTTTACGCCATTCTTGGATGACCAGCATTTGTACTTTCTTGGTCAAAATATCCATTTTAAAGATAAAATTTCCAGACTAATATTGAATAACTCTAACTATTGATGGATGGTACTTTGAAAAATACCTTAAATAAATTTGCAATGGTTGCATGGTTAGAAAAAAACTTTAAACCATACCTGTCAAAATCTCCTTTGAATCTAACCCTACTCTTTTTCACAGCATACAGCTTTTCATCTTCTATACTTTGAACCTTGAAGGCCTAATAGGAACAAAAAAAGACATGTGATAGATTAACAATGAAATATGTATCAAAAAAAGAGTAACTTCCATAATTTTGATCCTTCCTAGCACATCAATGGTGGGTGCAAGACAAATAGTTTCAATTTGCCGCCCCCCCCCAATACTTTAGAGGACAATGGTCTTTTATTCCAAAAAAATGGGAAATGTGGCATAATCTTATTAAAACAATACGCTTGCCCCCCCCCCCAATATTTGACCAAGTGTCCGCCCCTGGTATAAAACCAGTAAAAGGTCTATAGGTTCACACACTGTCTTTGGCTGCACCTTGCTTTCTGTTACAAAGCATTCTGACAAGGTGTGTTGTGTTAAGGTGGTAGAGTACCCTTCAGGCAATGAAAGACTGGAAACCACCACCTATAAATCTTTTTCGTATAATTGGCATTTCTCTGACAAATATCAGCACATATATCTTTCAGGATGTCTTTTGTTTACAGAGAAACATCTAAAAAAAATAAAACCCATCTATATACTTAAATTTTTTAGAAAATAATTCAAAATTGATATCATACCTCTCCAAAGGAACCAGTACCAAGTTTACTCAGGACTTTAAAACACTAAAAAGGAACAATTTTTACAGGTTGAATGGTATATCAATAGGCAAAATCCATGTTGTGCACAAAACCTCAAGAATATAACCATAGAGGGCAAACAATAGAAAATATATAACTAAAATAAACAAGAAGTAAAGAGAAAATCTAGTGTGGTGGTTGCCAAGAAAATCTTTTCCTAATACAGTATATAGTTCTTCTAATATATTTCAAACGGCATTAAACCATACTTAATAAAAGTTGGATATCTGCCATGCATTGTTTCAGTTTTACTTAACAATAGCTTACAATTAACAATAACAATAAATGAAAAAGATTGCCAAGAGAAATTTGATACCCCTTTGCATCTGCATTTAGGCACAGACCCATGCATTGGCCAAGCCTATATTATTCATGCCGGTATTAATGGCTCATGGACAAGCAAACATTACAATGAAAAAAGCAAATGGGCAAGGAAACTTTTCTATGCATATTTTAAACGAATTCCAGTCTAGGTTATAAGCATGCATTCAAAAAGTTATGAAGACAAAGGTCGTAAAATGCTGCAGTTGTTTCTTTCTGCATAAAACATTTGTGCATAGTCCATACCTGCTCAAAATATGATACATGTAATTCTGCATTGTAATGTGGACTCTCAATACCTTGATGCAAGTTAAGGCAATTGTTACAGCATTTTAAAGAAACATAAATTATCATGATACAAATGCCCAACTGTAAAACTTTTTTAATAAATTGATGTGCAGCAACATAGAAAGAATAGTATAAGATGGGACCTGCAAACACAGAAATTTGAGTTGCAATCATTGAGTTCCCCTTCAACAATATAAACTTTGTTAAAGGAAGTCTCAATGCCTGAGTGTTGCATTAGGGATCATTTTGTTCGCTTAACCTTTGGTTTTCTAAATACATGCTATTACCTGCAGTTTTAAACAAATTGTGTTTAAACGTGAATAATGAAGCAATACATTTGACCCTGTCCAATTCTGAACCGGTGTAATTTAAGCTTTTACTTATTTGAACAAAACTCTCAGATCCCTTGAAAATCCCCAAACAAACCCTTACAAAAATTTCTATAATTTGAACTTTTTGTAATTCCACCAACTTTGTCAGCCCCCATCAGGAAAATAGCACTTTAAGTTCAAACTCTCTGCGAACTTTAAGAAATATGTGTTTTTACTACAAAAAAAATCTTGTTTGAGGTATTTTTGTCTCGTTTTAGGTGGTAAGAAGGCCTATTTCAGTCTCCATAACAAGACAGTTCTTGATATGATATAGTGTGCAAGAGCAAAAAAGTTGATCATGTATGCAAGTGTGCAATTTTGAGTGTGTGAATGCCACACTCTGCAGACAGGCCCTTATTTGTTACACTCTAAGGGTTTTCTATGGTAATTTTCCAGGGATGCATACTGGCCCTAGTATTTCTAGCATTATTCAAAACTACCTAGTGGGATGAAAATGATGTGAAATTTTAATTGCGCATTCACTTTTTCCTGCCATTCTAAAGCATGAACTAAAGCAGAGTATGAAAGATGCATTCACAAGGTTGGTGTAGTGCTGCATTTCATTATAAAACATACTTTTGTATGCTAGATAGGTAAAATAATATTTGCATGCAGAACATATATATGAGACGATTGTGTATATGCAAGATCTCATCGAGAAATGCCATACCTATGGCACTTAACTGGGAATGGAACTTATCTGGGAATTTGGATGTACGCATGGATGGCTAAGCTTTTTCAAATTTACATTAATGTTGTTGTTTGTGTACACATTTCAGTCGGAATCATTTTAATTTGCATCGTTCTCCTTTAATGGAATGGTTAAACATTTGAGAATGGGACCAAAAGCCCTGTGCACAACGCCCACAAACAACATGGAAACTTCTTGGATAATGAATATGTGACAGTCTTAAGAAAAAAAAATATTTACGAAAAGATACTGCTATTTCGTTCCCGAAAACTGACTGCTTGTGGACGACTCAAAGTTTTCCTTGTTTGCTTAAAAACTCTGCTAATTGGTGGTGCAGATTTTGCAGGTGGCTTTGGAGGCGAATAATGAGCAATTCCTTTCTTCTTGTGTGAAAACACTTGGTCCGTAACTATTACAGGAATTGGACGCGGTGTTTTGAAAGTTGGCCTAGGAAGATTCGACTCCATCTTTCACCAAAAATTGTTGCATACGAATTCACATAAACTAAAACACGAATCCAGCTGTTATCATGAGAGTTCCTTGACATCAGACAACTAATTTCGCAATATTTCATGGGATTTCGCAACAAACAGTTGTCCAACCGACATTCCCTTGCTTGCCTTTCCTTGGCGCCAAATTCCTAATATTTGAAAACGAGTTTCCGTTGCATCTCAAGCCGAGGTTATCATTCAAGCCCAGTTCCCCTTTCAATAGCCCCAAAGTCCACAGCCCAGACTAAAAAAACTCACCCTCATTTTTCATTTTCAAGTTCATCATCTACACTCTTTTTTATAAGAAACTGGCTATAAGAAACGAATATTGGACAGTCAGAGAAAATTAAGAAACTTCAGTACTCGAAGCAAAAAAATTAAGAAACTATTAAATCGTAAAAAAACTGACAACAACAAAATTTTGTAAAATCCAAGATTATGATTGCCCTGTTGGCCTAGAAGATAAGACACAAGATATAAATATACTTGCCATATATAAATACAGAGCATCAGAACGGAAGCGAAATTCTTGACGTGATAAAAAAGGTCACGAACATTTTATAACATCATTCATGACATCATAATGAAGAAACTCTTAAGAAACAATGAGAATTGAAAGTTCCAGAACATTAAGAGACTGGAGTACTCAACATCGACCTTTGTTTCTTCTAAAAAATGAGTATACCGCAGTTAGTTTATAAAAAAAATAAAAACGGTTCTCTTAAAGTCTGAGGGAAAAAAATTCACAATATTGTATGGCAATATTACAGACTTGTTCTATACACAAATTAACGCAACATGAAGGGCGCAAAGAGAGATACCTATCCGAACATTTCTGGAAAAACATTAAACAAGGTTAAACGGCGACGTGAAAAACAGGTCGTCACAGGTGCACTTTTGGATATCAGTTCCTTGAACTTAGAGTTCTTTTGAATCAAATATCTATGAAAAAAATTTCGTCAAGCGTTATTAAGCCCCAAGTGTACCTTTTAACGTTGCTTAAGTGGTTCTGGAGGTAAAGTGCTTCTGGAAAAACTGTGTAAAATAATTTTCATGTCATGACATTGCAGAGGTGCAAATGCTGAATGACATTGTGTACATCCAAGGGAGCTTTTCCAAGGAAAATGCTTCTTTTTTCCTTTGATGAGGATTTTTATATAAAATTTAAGGTTAGGCAATAGTGTACTTTGCTACGTTCTGAATTTTGCGAGGAGCATAGAGTTTCAACCCCATTGCGAGAAGAGGAATACCATTCAAAATTGTAGCGTTATGTAGCCAAGAAAGAAGACCTAGGCCAGTCAGAATTTTATTGCCTTTAAATTATATACAAGTCGTAAAACTGACTGATTCCTATCGGTTCAAGATCATAAAACTGACTTTTTGAATATGAGCTTTCATTTGACAACTAGCATTGAATTGGCAACGGTCAATGAGGTGAATAGAACACACCTCGTGGCAACGGTAAACTTTTGGCACTGCCTTTACAAAAGAGTTTGAAAAATCGAATGAGAAATCCATTTTAGACTTCAAAACAGGTCTGTTAAGATTGCTCTTTTCCAGCACAGATCTCGTAAGCTCAAACTACCAAATTCTTTTTCAAACTATTTTTTGCTGACTCCTTTAAACGAATTTGCCAAATTCTGTGCTCAATTTTTCGCACGATTTCAGCTCTTTTAATTTTCTTGATTTCTGGGGCTTGCAGAAAAGGATGATGAAATAGAAAACTAATGTAATGCGATTTCCTTTATTTGTAACCAGATAATGTTGAAACTTCAATACAATTTGTTAACTATTTAGTTATGTTGAATCAACGTAGTATTTATGATTGCATAACTTCAGAATAAGCATCTGAAAATTTTTTAAATATTGTGAGCTAGTACTGTTAGTCGTTTGAACTACTTAGCAGCAATGGTTTTCTCTGTAAAACGTTTTTATAAAAAAAATCAATGTACTCAAATTACATTAGATACCCGCTAAAAAGGTGTTGGAAGCACGTGTATAGAATTAATAAACAATAAGGTAATCATGGTGACGAAATTTAGAGCCCAGGCTCTACGCGTTTGTTTAAATGATTTAATAAAGAGAATTGGTGGGTGCGTGTGTTGGTGCGAGATTCACAAAAGTTTAGTCATATGCATAAATAGCTATGCAAAATAGTAGTATTTGAAAAACCAAATTCCAGTGTGCTATTTGGCTCAATCTTCTCAACAGTAGGAAAATCGAATATAAAATCTGTGGGGAAAATCCGCCCTTTATAATACTTTCAAGAGTTTTTGGGGACCTATTATAGGCGGTTCAAAAGCCGTAAAATCGTGCAAAAACAAGTCAAAAGACGCGGCCGCGATAGCGAAACGTGCACTGACACAAAAAGGAAACCACTCGCTAATAAGAGAAGGAAAACATTGCTGAAAATAACTGTGTACCAAGCTTTATGGCTCTCACTCCCTTGTCTCACAAACATGCGTCGATCCAAACCCTATTTGTCATCTATTGGTTGTTGAATTTTGTTCAAATCCTAACAGCCATAAACAGTTGCCAATTGACACAGAAAGGTGCAAGACGCATCCTATGCAGAAGCCGCAATCCGCAGAAAACTCCATCGCCAAATCCGTAGGCCACACGTAGGAAAAAGGTTGCGCCCTCGCAGCTGCAAACTTTTAATAGGCCCCCGTCTTTCAATAAGATAAATGAAATGGTGGTCAATTTTTCTCGCATCATAAGGCAAGGTAAGAAATTGTCGGGTCATCTATTCTATATGTTTACTAGTAAACAGCTTAGTAAGATCGATAAAATCAATTAGTGTACATCTGTAAAGGCAGCTACTGACCAATCTTTCGCCAACTGTCTACAATTTGTTTTTCGTCGTGTAAATGATCCAGAAAAAGCTTAAACGATTTTACGGACCTTTCTGTTAAATCCAAAACATAATTGTTTTGTGAAAACCCTTGTCTCGTCATAGTATGAAAGCCCAGTACCGCACACTGTAGCAAACGACCTATGACAAAATAATACAAACAGCCGAACTCGCTTTCGGTCAGTTCACACTCTGATAAGTAACCAGATAAAACAATCCCACAATCTTCTATCGGGTTGCCTCTCCTGGTGCCATTATGAGCCATGCAGTTAGCGATTTCACTTAGACGATATGAATGAATCAGATCACCAAAGTCTATCAATCCAGAGATCCTCGATCCATTGTCTTCGCTTGGTATGATTATGTTATTTTCACTGATATCAGAATGAATCATTTGCGTTGGCAAAGAAGATTTGAATGGCGTTATTGCATTGTTAAATTTCTGAAGAAAAGACCCAATGCTCCTCCTTAGCTGCATACCTGGCACTGCGTTCAGATATTTTTCAGTGCCAAGAACATCCAAGTATTTGATATCGAATACCGACCACTTCCTCTCCAATGCTGTACACGTAAAATGCTGGGGGTAAAGATGAAAAAAAGAAGAAATGAAACATGAAAAAATTTAAAGGTGAATTCTTGATAAAACCATCTAGAAATTCTACAGGTAAAAAAATTGATTACAAAGTGATTACAAAGATCTTTTGAAAGCGCCAGCAGTGCCTAAGGTTCAAGTTTTTGGTTCACTCAAGTTTTTAGTGTTTTGTCATAGAATGCGTCTTTCCACAACAAGACAACATATTGAAAAAGCCTTCTCGATAACCCACAAACAGAAGATAAGATTGGGTACGGTTACTGGATTCCCTGGAAATGACAGCCACTGGACTATACTCAGCTGGAGATGTCAAACAAAAGAGGCAAACAAAACCATACATTTTTCGTCTGTTTACAGCTGCCGCTTTTAGTTGGGTTTGTAGAGAATTACTAAGGCTGTTGCTCTTTCTTCCATGAGGATTGACTCAGTCACCTTTTTGTGTATCACATCTTTCAATTTAAAAGGCTAAATTGTTTCAAGATATTAGGGAACTTTTACCTGAAGTGCAGATGAAACCTTGGCAGCTAGCTTTCCAGCCTCGTGTAGCAGCAATTCGTTGGTTGGAATGGTCCTGCCCAAAACGACTCCTTCAATGTATGTGAGGAGCCTAGACAATTTGGAGAAACTGTATAAAGCCACGGAATTGTTATATCTCTAGTGTTTGGCTTCGATAATCAAGAGATTGTTAAAATAAAAATTTTACTATTCAATTTTCAATGAATGTTCAATGCAAAGCTCATCATGTTTCGACAAAAGTGGAGAAGCAATTTCGAATTCAAGCGGATGTTAAGATAAAAACTACTGTTATAAAGTTGTCCTTTCTCTTCTTGTCTTTCAGCGCAAATGCAATGAAGACACTTCGATGAAGCTTGCCTGAGAAACGAGAAGGAAACGGAGAACTTTTCAACATATGGCGCCCAACGTGGGACAGGACGCTGGAAAATGCCCTCTTTGAAACAATTTTTTTACTGATCTTTGAATTCCTTTTTCTATGTTAAAAAGATCTGTAGCCCTTTTTATAGGTGGTTCACGCTTCTCCCAAAAAACTGTAGGGAAATTTGACAAAGGCACATTTGATCTAAAGAAAGACTGTTTTTTATTCAGTGCCTACAAGTTTTGTTTACTTTCAGGGGAAAATAATAAGCCACAAACGGAGTAACTACCATTGCCTAATTCTTTATTGATATTTTGACGTGAATGTCTCAAAGAAACTCTAAAACGTTCCCGCTGAATGGATGTCACCTGAAATTTCCTTTCAAGCTAATAGGAAACCCTCCGCACCATCGGTCACGACCCCCCGGAATACTAACCAGACTACAAGAAATGAAACGGATAGACCTGTAATAAAAATGGGGGGAGGAGGGGTGTCAAAAGTGCGTCGTGTTGCCAGATGATATATTCTTCCAATGGAAATATATTTTGGAATGCTGCAGCTAAGATCAACACCAATCTGAATAACGAAATTTATACCTGATATAATGAGGCACTTGCACTATATTTTTCTTTTTGTCTTCACTTGCTGATTCGCGGTCCAAAAGACCTTCTTCAATAGCTAATTCTTCAGCTGCATTGATAAATTCATCAGCTAAACACGATCTCTTGGTTGGAACACAAACCAACTTCTTGTATGTCCCATTGGTCGTTTTTTGCGGCATTGGTATATCGACATGCTTTCCAATTGCTCCGTGCAGGTACATTATGCATTCGTCTGTGCCATCTAGCGTAGATTCACCTCTAAAGAATGTCTCATTCGCGTTCACCACCTTCAACACATATCTGTAGTAAAATATTGATATATGGTCTACAAAATCAGATAGACCTTGAATCAGTGGCGGTGCCACAGGGCTTTGGCTACCCCCAACTTGTAAGACTATGATCTACCACATCCCTCTTCCAAAAATTGATAAAATGTATGGAGCATCTAGACGGTAGAAGCAGGTTTCTACATTGGAAAAATACGCCCAAATAAAACTCAGGGTCTTGTTTAGGAAAGTCTCTAGACTTCTTTGTCATAAATTTTTCCCTTCAGATTTGACAATAAGGAACATAATTTTAGATTACACTTAAGTCTTCATGATGCTAGTTTTTCTGATTTGAGTTTGTGATAACAATACTTTTATAAGGGATTTGACCATGATTAGCGACAAAAGATGAACAATTTTATCCTGGACGTTTTTTGGCATCAAATCCTGTGACAGAAAAAATTAATATTTTAATACAACAAAATACGTTAACAATATAAAGATGTCAAAATGCCACCACAACCCAGGATGATTCTCCTTCGACATCAGCATCTGAATTTTCTGACTATAAGGAGACATAAAACATGAATGATAAACATGCCAAATATCTTATCACGAAACTTTTCAGGCATCCCCAGTAACGAATCCTTGGAACGTAATCATTAAGCGTGAGCATTTATTAGCTACCACTAAGTTTAATAATGTTAGATACTCATATGAAAGCAGTTTAGGTTGATTGCAAGTTGTTACCAAAATTTTTATCATAAATGGTTTTGATTCTACCGACATTGCTATCGTTTATGGCAAACAAACAAAAAATCAGCATAGCTGGTCACTCGAGCCTTTACTCTTCTTGATCAATCAGTTTCGATACCTCATAATCCCTCCTCAACGATTGGGTGTTTCTAGAAATCTTTTTTATTGTAAGTACCCCCTCCCCCTAGTTAAACGTCTAAAATTTTTGAATTTGGTCTTTCCCCTTCCCTTTTTTATTCGTTAGTATAGCGTCCCTTCAGAAAAATAAATTTCGTCTATATCATTTGAAATTTGCTTATATATGATTTCGCTAACTCCATTGACAAAATCTTTGGCATGTACTTTGATTTTTCCTTAATTTAAACCATCGCTAGTACTCGATATTCTTAAAAAATTATTTACATTCTAATGAATGAATAAAATGAATAAATTTGGTTAGAACAGGCAAAGAAAGATAATCCTCGCTATTGCTTTTTTTCTATAATGAGCAAAATACAAGGTTAAAAAGCTTCACTTTTCTTTTGAAATCTATTCTTTAAAGACTCGTTGCTAACAATGGGCCTTTGCGAGCGTGGTGACGGTCCAAACAATGGCAGTAATTTTCTACGGATTAACCAAAATTGATTTTAGACAGTCTAAAAATGCATTATGGGATGCTTACGTAGCGCAATGGCTCATTGTTAGCAATGAGGCTTTAAAAAAGTTTCCATGACGCATTTTGATACGTAGACCGAGTTAGCTGCTATGGCAACCAAATCATTGTCGTCATTTCAGCACCAAAGAAATTATCTCTTGTCACGAGTCAATGATATTTTCTGAATATAAATCATCACCTTACATAAATTTGTACTTTTTCGATGGAAGTACTTCGTCTCTTTCGGAAAAAGCTTCCAAAATTGGTTGGAACCATTAAGCAAATTATGGTTATTCTTTAATCAAAGTAAATAGATATGCAGAAATAATTGTACCTTTTCGATATATTCCCGTCTCTCGGATTATTTGTCACAGCTTTTGCAGTTGCAGTCCTTACAACTGCTTCCTCCGGGAAGGAAAGCTTTCCCGAAATGCAATAATTTCTATCTAAATAGGCACAAAGTTCTTCGATTGGGTCTGCAGAATCCACATTTAGGCCAAAGACATCTCCAGCAAGCTGTTTTACCATTTCCATGGAAAGCGTCGGTCGCAGGGCAAATCTATTATATCCAGATTCAGACTGAGTCATTCTTGTATTCCCAAACGACAAATGATCAGAAAACCTATTGGTGAATTCTTGTTTACACAAAATCAGTGCTGTAAACAAACAATGACGTTCTCCCTGCAGGCTTCAGTGCACTACTTTGCCAACATTGTTTCTGGACAAAAACAATGATACACGGCTCGTTCTCCTGACAGGACGTAAACATCGGGGAGCTCAATGGAGGAGCTAGACTCACTGATCAATAGAACACTTGAAAAATTGCGAAAGTGGTAGTCTCGTTGTACAATACGCTGTTGTAACAAACAAACAACTTGAGTTTGTCGCTAGTGCTTTTGGAAATCGTAAAGGGCAAATTGAGTGCTTCAAAACAACAAAACATAGTAGTGGAAATATTTTTGTTTGCCAAAAAGTGGGGAGCATGGCTCCTTCGGCCCCCTGGTGGCGTGTGCCCTGCAGGGAAACACGAAATCAACAATCAAAATATAGTTTAATAGCAAAGAGCTGTCACACGAGCTGAGCTGTTTTTTAAAAGGATTATTTGGTTTTTCGAAAGGGGAACCTTGTTTTAATGGGGCGAAAAGTATTCGTTTTAAAACCTTTTCATCGGGCTGGACTTTGACATTTGTCATATGAATAAAATTAGGTAAAATGCCCCTTTGCAGCTTACTAAGTTGCCCTGTTTTGCCAACTGCATAACCAAAAGTTAAATGCTTAGCTTAAGTGCTATACGAAATGAGCAAAGACTTCGTATAGCTGCTCACGAGACGTGTCCTGGGGCTGGGGTCAAACCCGTTTGTATAGCTTTATACTTTTATGATTTTATGAGTTGGAACTATCAGTATTGTTCGAATGTATGCAAGAATACGAAATACGCAAAACCGAAGGAACTCTCACGAAATTGCAGAAGATCACTCTTGAACGTTGGAACTCTCTATGCAAAGTTGAATTCCACCAAAGACAAAGACAAAGTGAACGGACAGACAAGTAACACTTATCGTATTACATTTTTGTCATAGATATTAAGATACATATTCATTTTTTCCTTATTCGATATTTATATACAGTCCTCTTTGAACAATTTCTCGTACCTAACCTAACTCTGCTACCCTAGGTGGAAATACCAAAAGAATTTCCCTACCTAGGCCTGATATTGAACCTAAGCAGGGGTAATATTCTTAACAATCTCATAACCAGGCCCGAGAGTGGTTGGCAAATTACCCTAGGGCCTCAAGGTTTAGGTGACTTCAAAAAGTAATGACTTTAAGATTAGTATACTTATAATGAATATATAATGAAGTCCATAATTAATTCATATTTCAAACTACCGAAGTAAAGTATTTCGAAATTGTCAAATGTTCCATTCCTACCCCCAACGTAGAAAATTTATTAAGGAGATGTCAGAACACATTGGACCGACTCACATACAAAATGGACTGAGTCTTCAAAAACCAAACTTTGCAGATAAAAATATTGAAAATTTATAAAGAATATGTTCAGGAATAGCCAAAAGGCCCCGTACTTAGGTAAAAGTTGGGAATTGATTCTCTTTGGAACTGTGGTGATCATTTGGTACTTTTGAGAGGAATCTAAGGACACTGGATGAGAAATCTATCTTTGTTTTGCTCAACTTGTTTTCAGGGAACACCTAAAGAAACTCGAAAAACATACATGTATCAAAACTTATAGTCTGAAGTCTTTTGCGTAGAGGGTACAACCTGAAGGGGCCAGTCTTCGTCTAATTTGTTTAAAATAAGAATAACCTCGCAGGAAACATGTCTAGCCTCAGATGAAAAAATTGAAAAATGAACGATATCTGTTTGGAGATTTGAAAATTTAGAAGACAGATTTTATCAGCGAATCAATCCTGCCACTTAAATGGTTTACAAAACTGTTGTTTAGTTGTATTAGAAAGAATTCATAGTATGAAGATGTGGAACAATTAATGTAGATAAAAGCACTATGAAGCTATCTGGTGTTTCGTCTATTTTGTTGAGATAATATAAGCCAAAACTATTTGCGGTAGATTCTATGCTATTGGAATTTTTACTAATCTAAGTATGAAAAGCCGCCTCTTCTTTTAAGCGCCTCCTTTGAGAAAATACCCCGAAAAAGTTTGAAAAATTTAAAAGAGCAACCCAGACGTAATATGGTATCTTAACAGCTCTACATATCAAAAGTAACTTGAGTCAATGCTGTTATCAAATAGATAATTCTAACACAACATTAAAAGATGTATTCAGTTATTTTGTTATTTTATACTGGGAAGCAAAGTGATTTCATAATTCAAAACCAAAAAATCTAAATAGTTATATTTTCTCCCCGAAAACTTATATGTAGTATTTGTAATTACAGTAATTACAGATTTGTAGTATTGCATAAGAATTCTTAAAACAATTACTTTCCTGGCAATAGAGTTTAAAGTGTCTCAAACTTGTACATTTACATGAACTTGCAGCCAGTATTCAATTAATTCGTCAACTCTTTCCTCGTATTCTAAGAACATTCCAAGAACTTTCCAACCAGTTTGTGACGTTGTTAACAAATATTCGTTACCAGGATCCAAAGAGTATTGATAATTGCCCATAGTAAGGGACTGTGCCAGTCTCCCAATAACACCGTAATACAACACTTTCAATTCAAGATCTGTTAAGGGCTCCTTTGACAAATACCCGGACAGAACGAGGCCAACATCCTTTAGGCAGTCATTTGGCCTAAGCAAGCTCATGTAGGCCATACATATTGCAATTTCACATACACGAAACGAGTAAGTGACTTCACCAAAATCTATCAAACCAACAATCGTTGCTTTTGAGTCGATTATTTCAGTGATTAAATTGCTTGCGTTGATGTCCGCGTGAATCGTTTGTTTAGGTAAATTCTCTGCGACTGAAAGGAAATTATCTTGAAACAACTGAAAACACTTCACGACCATACCATGGTTTTCTTTGTTCATTATGGCATCGAGATACTGCGGTGAATTCAGCCAAAGCAGGTTCTTCAAATCCCATATATCTCTCTTTTCTATAAGGATTGGGTGGGAAAATCCCTAAAATATAAAAATTGGTAAAACATAACAAACAAAATAAAATTTACATAGACTGGCGATTCACCATCTGAAAAGAAGACAGCAGATTTTACCAGTTTTTGCTCCAAAATATGTGGCAAACGACAAATATTGATGATCCAGAGTGAGCTATAAAGGTTTATCCAATCATGCATACTCGGGTCGCAAACAAAAAAAACATTGACATTATAATCTTACTAACCATATTGAGAAAAAGAGACTAACCTCTAATGCTTTGCATACTGTTGCAGCCAAATCTCCAACCTGAATAAGCAGTTTGTCTTCGATTTCAAAATCCTTCATAGTCTTCCCGTCCACAAAAGAAAGTAACCTAAATTAAGGAACAAACAATGTTGATGTTGGTCATTGACAATATTTGGAATTTTACGTAGCTTTTCTGACAAACCACTTTTACTCATATACAGGAGCGTATCTAACGGGTATTTAGTCAGTGAAATCGCCGGACAGTAAAAATAATGGAGAATCGATGATGATTTCATTTTTAATTGTGAAATGACTTCAACTATGAATATATGTAACTATGAATGATTTAAATTGTAAAAAATAGCTGTTCAGGGTACTGTAATACTCCATGTAATTCTTCCAGAGAGAAACCCTATGGGTCTGATTAGCCAAGTACACCTTCTTTAAATAGCTTATATATTCTAAGTAAAATTTATTTTTTCCTAAAATATATAAGTATATAAAATTTCGATCTAGAAGAAACAGAATCACAAATAAAAGAGAAAGAAAATAACAAGAAAATAATGGAACACGCAATTTTTTGGGCCTAATAGGCATGACATTTACTGATAAACAATCAGCTGTGTTAGGTACTCAGAAGTCATTTCACTGCTTTGATTTGATTTGATTTATTATTCAAATTCTACTACAATAATAATTGTTAACAAAATACTGATACTAAAAATATATAAAAATAAAACAACAACCCAATGCAACTAGATGTAGTAGTAGAATTCTTAAGGAGGTGCTCTCAAAGTAGATAAACCAACGAGATGAGAGCCCCCTCCTCTGTCGTCTATCAGAACCATAAACCCAAAGGTGATGCAAAATTGCTAGCTTAAATAATAAAATTTGTTAAACGTATCGAATAAAAATTTCATTTAGGCATTCACATAGCAATTGGCAAGTGATGTTTTAGATTCTTTTTGAATCAAAGTCTTGAGGTAGAGTCTCGAATGTCAGCTGATAGGTCATTCCAGAGTTTCGCTCCAATATATCGAATGGACTTTAAGCCAAACTGAAGCGTTTTTTTTATCTAGATAGATATCTCCTCGGAAAGACTGCTTTGTTTCATAGTGATGGACTGAAATATTTAGTGGGAATAAATTGTTAAAGCAACTCTGTGTTAGTTTGTTTATTGATTCAAAAACAAATGTTAATAACCTGAGTTTGAGTTTGTCATGAAGTCTGAGTAGCTTCAGACTTCTAAAGATCGGTGTTGAATGGGAAAAGGCCTTTTCATGTGAAATTGCTCTAACAGCTCTTTTTTGCAGTTTGAAAATAGGGTCAACGTATGAGGCAAATGTTTGACCCTAAACAATGATACCGTACTGCAGAAATGACATAAATAGAGAATTGTAGAGGCATAATAAAGAATCAGTTGGTAAAAAATGTTTGATTTTGAAAAAAAACTCCGCATGTTCTTGCCAGTTTTTTGGAGAGTTCATTTCGATGAACTTTCCAACTAAGATGTTCACCCAGAAGAAGTCCCAAAAATCTTACATGATTTACCCTGGTGATATATTTGTTGACCAATTTTAATTAAGATGTCGGATTGAATAGTTTTGCTGGAAAAATTGAAAATTATGTAATTAGTTTTTCTTATATTCAATGAAAGTCTTTTAGCATCAAGCCATTTTTGCACATTTTTAAGTCAGTATTTACGTTTCTAACAAGATCATATACTGATTTGGATTCGTAATAAATGTTTGTATCATCTGCAAAAAGGTAAAAGTTCAGTTTTTTGAGACATTTGGTAAGTCAATGATAAAAATTAAAAAAGCAACGCTCCTAGTACAGATCCCTGTGGCACACCACATGTGATTTTTAGTTATTCAGAATGTACGCCATTGACTAACCCAAGGTTGAAGTCAAGTGCTTGTTATGTTTGTTATCAGTCTCTCATCTGAAGAATTGCTCTTCGCCAGTTAGTTCTAAAGCTTATTGATATGAGACAGAAATTGGATAGCTCATACCTGATATAGTGTTTTATCACAAGTTTGATTTCAGAGTTTCTACCAACAACAGCCTTCCACACGCTGTCTCCTTCAATTTGCTTCTTAGCAATCTTTTCAGCAAAAGATGCATCCCGTTCAGCAATGTATTCTAATGGAACCTCAAGTTCTTTTAATTCTGCAAAATTTCCATTTCTACTTAAAATGTCAATAGGAAAGTTGTAAGGGCTGTTGCCTGAAAAAAGGGGAAACTGTCACAGAAAAACATAAGAAGATTAAGTGCCTCAAAGAAAATTTGTTTTTAGGATAAGTGCCTCAAGGTGGTGGGCTTGAAATGACTTTGGTATAGCCCCAATGCCTTTTATTTGCAAAAAAACGATTTTATCCAGCTTTGCTTTCCCTAGCATTAAATTCTGGAATGTGGCATCCAAAATGTGAAGTCTTCTGTATTGTCCAACTAATGGGAAAATAAATCGAAATGCGGTAGGACATAGTGTATTCAAAAATGGTTAAAACCCTTTTCTAGTGTCTATTTTTCTATGCATATTCATCTAACGTTTGAGGATGCACAAGCTGGAATACAGGTTCTGGCTGCCCAGTTACATAGAAATAAGGGAGAATATCAAAGATCACTCTAAATCAAGGGCTCTGACTCAGGTATGAAAGTGGAGGGATCAAGGGAAAATCCAACACCCATAACAAAAGGTTTGGAAAAATGCTCTATGGCTTTCTAAAAATGTGGGGGGCCATGGTCCCCCAACCTTTGTCGGAGGCCCAGTAAATGTAGAATAAAGTTTTGCCCTAAAATATCAAACTGACCCCCATTTGTCTATGTGCCAAGTGAATCCTCCCCCCTCCCCATGAACTTGGGTTGTGAGATCTCTGTGGCTCTATGGAGCTAGTAAGTGGACATAATTCCGTTTTAGAACTACATTATACTCTCGTTAAGGGCACCCCGGATAAGCAGGACGCCCGATATGTAGTACAGATTTTCCCGATCTCTTGAACTTGCTTCCCCTTTTACAAGCATCCGGATAAGTAGGACGCCTGCTAAGTAGTACACTTTTGCTCGGTCCCTTGACTGTCCCACTTAACGAGAGTATACTGTAGTTCGGTTTTTTAGCATTTGGTGGGTTGCTGTAAGTCTTGGTAAATGAAGGTTCACTTTGTAAGGTCATTTTTCAAGTAGGGGTATGGGTAGATTAGTTACCAAGTAAATTTTAGGAATACAAGCTCGCCACTTCTGATTTTCAAACAGACATCTTTGATTATAATATGAAACCACGCTTCAATTGGAAACAATAGAAATAGAAAACAAGCTACGCTAGAATAAGAAAGCAAGCAAACCTTGCAACAATATGAAAAGAAGCCTTCAAATTGACAAGGCTACCGAGATGGGGGCGAATAAAAGTAATAGATTCCGTTCTAAAATGAAATTAACTAACAGTAAAAGAATTATGCCTAAAAATAGTAAAGCGTTTTGAACAAAAGCAAGAAAATAAATGAATTTAAATTAATCTTAAGGGCATGGTTTGCATAATATTTCTGTTTGCTTAGCTCATAGGAGCCACGTCTTTAGTTTTACCCTAGGGCCTCCAAAACCTCTCGGCTGCCCTGCAGATTGACAGCCGCAACTATCGCACTATTTGAAACCCCGGAGGGTAGGGGGGGTTACTCCCATTAAGGCCTGACAAGGGTGTTCAGTCGATGTGAAGGTCTTACCAAATAGCTCAGTTTCGATAATAACACTTCCACTTGGGGTATTTCGAGTAGTTGCTATCTCTTAGGGGGGCTTGCGATTTTTCACTGAAAATTAAAAATACAAGCCAATAGCGAAGAAATTTTTCAAAATAATACCAGGCGGGCACAAAGAAATGGATGCTAGCAAGGTCATAGCTTATGCTAACATTTGAGGGTTGTTGTAAAAAAAGACAAACATTTGAGAGTAGTTTTTTAACACTTTAGCTTTGGCCCTCTTGGACCCTTTGGAGTATCCCCCTGGTGTATGAAACAACCCCGCAGAGTGAAACTTTACTAGCAAAGGATAGACCGATCCCATTATTACGTCACAGGTGTTGCCACAGGCAATGCATTCTGGTACTTGGTAGTTGTAGCTACCACTTGCCGTTGCTATCCACCTTGTTCATTGTGTTTCGCACTGCTTCACCGCGTTATCAAATGAAAGTTTTTTATGCCGAAATCATAAACGAAAATATTGAAACCATCCGTTTTCTTTGGCTTCTATCGTCTCCTCCGCAGTAAAGATATGTCCTTGCGAAGTACGAATGCTTTCCGGGTTAACAAAAATAGACTTTGGGAAAGTCTATTAACATACGCTATTGTCTGGGGCCCTCTTCCTTTTGAAATTGAACGGTTTTCAAACTTTGGTGTTTCAAGACAATAAGAAGCTCGATCCAGTCTTTTTTATAGATCAGTGGATACGGAATGTACGATTTCCGGCTAGTAATATACGCACCCAGGGGGGACTCCCATTATGACCTGACAGTGAGGGCCAACATTAAAATTTAAAAAAAATTTCCCTCAAATGGTTGTATTTTTTAAAAATTACACCCAAATGGTAGCACAAGAACCGAAATTATGTCCTTGGTAGCAACCATTTCTTTGTGCTCCCCTGATCCTTCTTTGACAAATTTCTTCACAATTGACTGTTGTTGATTCGGGAAAGATAAAATCTTATTTATTATCTATAATAAATCACAAGCTAAACGAAGCAGTTGAGTTATAATCGAAACTGGCCATTTGGTAAGACCCTAAACCAGATTGGACCCCTTATCAGGCCTGAATGGGAGTACCCCCCGGGTATGCGCCATGTGCGAGGGGAATACCACGTTTTCCCTCTGTGTAATGCTGAAAACCCACTCTTTCTCGGAAAATGATCCCGCGGATGGTAGGTGAACGGATTGAAGAAAAAAGTTGATTTATCATTTGTTCTAATTTTTTGTTAACCGTTCCGGTACAGTAGTTTTCTTTTGATCAAAATCGAATTAGAGCTTTTTAAACAATAGAGCACTGCGTCATGAGGCAAGGATCCCGTGGAGATAAATGTCAGCGTGCATTCCAATTTGAAACGGTCCCTGGATCGAACGGCACTGATCAGAGAGCAACACGATCTGATCCGATCCGCGGACGGTTTTCCAGAGTGGGTTTTCGGCTTAATGGCTAGCATAAATCATTTTTGTTACCAAGGCTTTCCTGTATATGCTCCATAACGCCTATAGAAGCATCCAGAAAGTCTTTCGAATATGTTGTTTCTGTGCTCATTACTTTAAAAACGAATTTCCCAATAACTTCAGCTGACTGATTCGCCTTGAGTGAATCGTTGAAAATTTGTCCTTTTCCATCACCCCTTGTCGCGAAAGAATGCCCGTTGTCGGCAATGTTGCCTCTTACAAAGTAATTTCTATCTCTGTAGCTGTTTAGTTCTTTGATACACGATTCGTCTGTTACTGCCACTCCGAAAACTTCTTGTATATATTTAGAAACAGCCTTGACATCGAGTAACGGTCGGAATAAAAGCCGGCTCTTCTCACAGTCGTTCATCTTCGAAAATCTGGCCTTTTGAATCGTGATTCAAACAAATCAACGAACAACAACAAATCCAAACAACAAACAAATCAACAGGCTGAACAACAAACAAATCAACGAAGTGTGTTGCAGCGAGACAATCAACAACCACAACATGTTGTATTTTATCATTTTATGAGTAAAAATACGCGGTATACACTTCATTTCACGCTCATTTCAAACACCTCATTAAACCGTAAGCAATTAGTTTTAATTGCAAAAGATTTGTGTAAACGGGCATCATGGAAAAACCAGACCCTAGGACCCCTGGACCCCTAGGACCCTTAACCAATAACTATGAGAGACACGACTACTTCCGCACAGCTTGGCTCAACTGATGGCATACCGTAAAAACCAGGGGCGGATCTAGACGTTCACATCGTTTGCACATGCGACAGTCAACTTTAAAGAATATTAGGAATCTGTCTCAAATGATTTTTTTCCTGAAAATCAAATTGCTCCAAGTTTAGCGCTTATTGGCAAATTTTCTATTTGTGTTTTGCATTTGCTCGTGGATAATTCTTCAGTTATATTTGTCAACTGAACATGGTGCAGGAGAGATGTCTTAAAAACACAAAGTATTATACTTCTCTGTAAAGAACTAATGCAACGCTGTATTCGCTTTTTAACCTTGGCGTTATATTTCCTAAAAATTCAACTACACCACTGTTTTACAAAACAGGTCAAAATCGTTTTTCGCTTCATAATTTGTTAAAGAGTTAGCATAATTTTTCCTTCAACATCATGCAAATACCTCATGATTGATAAAGGGTTTAGTGAAGGCTGTAGCAATATCTAAGTAGATTCAGGCCTAATGAAGTTTGTATAAAATTCATGAGCTTGTTTTGGTAACTGTGTCTTATCTGTTTTTATTTGGACTTTTTTGCTGTTTTTATTTTGACATGACCAGAACATGACGACGGAAAAGGTCTTGCAAAATTTTAGAAACAAGTTTAATAATGAAAAATGAACATAAGGATGTCAACAGGGGAACTATACTGCACATAGCTAAGTAGCTTTGCATGAGTGTAGACGAGGAAAGAAAGAATCCAGAGAAAGTCGTCTTGATATTGAAATATGCGCCTCTTCGGTGCCTGGGTAGTTGTCTTTTTTCGTTCACATCTGTTTCAGCGGGCTATTGGTGCCCCATTGAAAAGTTGGGTCGTTTTCGGTGCCCCCAGCTCCCTTTTCATTGAAGGGTAAATTCCCCCCGATCTCCTCGGAGTTACAGACAAGAAGTATCCTAACAAGTCTACAAAAAGGGTGGCTACTGCCTCACGGGACGATTTGCCGTCTAAAATAATGAAGAGTTCTAAAACATTTTTCTAAACTTTTTAATTTTAACCCGTTGAATCAATTGGCTCGATGCAATAAGATGCAATAAAAGTTTCTACTAGGAAAGGCTAAAATTGGGAAGAATGGGTCTTAATAAATTGGAAAACTGCAACATCAGTGGGCTCTGTCATAGGGAAACAGTATATTGTACAGAGATACAAGAGTGGTAGCAAGGAAAGTCAGCAGAGCATGATAACAATTGATGTTATGCACCCAACTACAGTCAAGTTCTCTCTTGTGTTAACAAATCAGAGTGCGGCACGCTTCTTTATAACGACACTAGTGTGATTTGAATTTAAAGGAACGAAAAGAACAAGACGTGAAATAAATTTTCTAATATTTTATTAGCTTGTTACATATTCTGATTATATGAAATAAAACACATGTAGTCTCTTATTGCATAAGAACCCTTAAAACACTGACTTTCCTGGCAATAGAATTTAAAGTGTCTCAAACTTGTACATTTGCATGAACTTGCAGCCAATATTCAACCAGCTCGTCAACTCTTTCCTCGTATTCTAAGAACATTCCAAGAACTTTCCAACCAGTTTGTGACGTTGTTAACAAATATTCGTTACCAGGATCCAAAGAGTATTGATAATTCCCCAAAGTAAGGGACTGTGCCAGTCTTCCAATAACACAGTAATACAACACTTTCAATTCAAGATCTGTTAAAGGCTCCTTTGACAAATACCCGGACAGAACGAGGCCAGCATCCTTCAGACAGTCATTTGGCCTAAGCAAGCTCATGTAGGCCATACAAATTGCAATTTCAAATACACGAAACGAGTAAGTGACTTCACCAAAATCTATCAAACCAACAATCGTTGCTTTTGAGTCGATCATTTCGGTGATTACATTGCTTGCATTGATGTCCGCGTGAATCGTTTGTTTGGGTAAATTCTCTGCGACTGAAAGGAAATTATCTTGAAACAACTGAAAACACTTCACGACCATACCATGGTTTTCCTTGATCTTTATGGCATCGAGATACTGCGGTGAATTCAGCCAAAGAAGGTTCTTCAAATCCCATATATCTCTTTTTTCTATAAGGATTGGGTGGGTAAATCCCTAAAATATAAAAATTGGTAAAACATTACCAACAAAATAAAATTTACATAGACTGGCAATTCACTATCTGAAAAGGAGACAGCAGATTTAACCAGTTTTTGCTCCAAAATATGTGGCAAACGACAAATATTGATGATCCAGAGAGAGCTATAAAGGTTTATCCAATCATGCATACTCCGGTCTCAAACAAAAATACATTTACATTATAATCTTACTAACCATATTGAGAAAAAGAGACTAACCTCTAATGCATTGCATACTGTTGCAGCCAAATCTCCAACCTGAATAAGCAGTTTGTCTTCGATTTCAAAATCCTTCAGAGTCTTCTCTTCCACAAAAGAAAGTAACCTAAATTGAAGAACAAACATGTTGATGTTGGTCATTGAAAATATTTGGACTCTTACGTAGCTTTTCTGACAAACCATGTTTATTCATATACAGGAGTGTATATGATGGGTATTCTGTTGAGGTGTGACACTCCTAAACTTTCATAAGCGAGTCAATAAAACCTTAGTTGGTCTCAGTAAGATCCTTTTTTAGTCAGCGAAATCGCCTGGCAAGGAAAACAATGGGAGAATTGATGACAATTTTATGTTTTTCTTGCTTTGAATGATTTTAATCGTGAGAAAAAGCTGTTCAGGGTAATTCTTCCCGAGAGAAACCCTACGGGTCTGATGAGCCAAGTTCACACGGCTTTTTCAAATAGCTTACATATTTTAGAAATCCATTTAATTATCTTACGCTGAAAGCAAAATTCATTTTATATATATATATATATACAAAATGTCGATCAAGAAGAAACAGCATCACGAAGAAAAAGAGAAAGAAAATAAGAAGAAAATAATCAGCTGTGTTAGATGCTCAGGCTCAAACCAGGCAGCAGCATAGGCATATATCCTTTGAATGGGAAAGTTAAGCATCACTTTCTTCTGCCAGCTCACAGGTGGCTCTTGGGCAAGGCCTAGCACCTGCTTACAGCCTCCCTGCTAAGGGTAACTAGTTAAACACTGGGAAGCAGCAGTGTGGGTCAGATACTTTGGCAGAAGATCATGCATATGCCAACGGCAAAGTTGTAAAGCGCTTAACAGGCTCTGGTGCAACTGGAGAGACGGCAAGCGCAACTCATCCTAGTTAGCAGGACACTGCGATGATGGAAAGAAAGTTGGGGTTTCTACCATCATTAGCTTTGCTCCAGAACACGGCATACAATATGAGTCTAAATGTGCAACATGGGATTTTCCCAGTATCTAGTAAAGCTTCTTAAAGTTTTATATAAGGGGCAAAAAGCAACAGTTTGAACTGGCCATGGCTTAGCGGACTGGTTTCGCATCGAGCAAGGTGTGAGGCAAGGATGCATTTTGTTACCCTTTCTCTTCAATATTTACTCGGAATCTATCACGAGGGAGGCACTGGATGGACTTGAAGGTACTGTTATTTACGGTACGCTGATGATGTGGCACTACTGGCAGGATGTGCAGAAGAACTGCAAGAATGGTTGAAAAGAGTCTGTGAGGCAAGTAGAGTACGGGGATTGAAGTTGAATGTGGATAAGACAAAGGTAATGTTAATAGACAAACACCGAGGTGATGTTAATAGACAAACAACCAGGAAGATTTTGAAATCACCCTAGAAGAGAAGACGGTCAAAGTCGTAAAAGAACTTAATTACTTGGGTGCCCTCATTACCAACAGCCATAATTACATTAATGAAATAAGAAGAAGAATAGCCATAGCCAAAAATGCTACCATTTCTCTGAATAAGATATGGAAGGAAAAATCTATCAGTAAAAATACAAAGATAAGGCTGCTAAGATCAATAGTATTTCCAATAGCAACAAATGGATCTGAATGCTGGGCAATGAAAAATGGTGATAGAGCTAGAATACAGTCATTTGAGCTGTGGGCGTACAGGTTATTGTTAGGAATCAGCTGGACGAAAAATAGATCAAACAAAAGTGTGCTCGACGAGATCGGGGAAACTAAAAGACTTGTAAATGAGATAGAAAAACAGAAACTTCAATTCATGGGACATATTATGAGACACAGATCCATAGAAAATGACTTGCTGACAGGAATGGTATTTGGTAAAAGAACAAGGGGACGGCAGAGAACCAGAATGACAAAAACAATTAAAGAGAAGCTAGGACTGACTATGACTGAGGCCATTGGAACAGCCCAAAACAGAGAGAAATGGAAGAACATTGTGTATGCCGCCACAGCCGTTCGGGAAGCCGAATGTTCTGAACGATAGTAGCAGTATATGCTCAGAAAACATTTCATTAACCTAAGGTTACAGTCAAGTCACAGAATAGGAATTAGGCAGAAGGGGAACTCCTGCCTATCAGGTGAAGCTTGAAAAAACTAGTGCATGCGTTAACTTATACGAGGCTTAGCATGTATCCGTCGGGGAAATTTAAAAAAAGAATGAAATTAGACAACTTTATTTGAGACGAAATGCCCCATGATAGTGAACAAATTCAATTATGTATCATAATTCGTTTATATCTGATTAATGAATGATAATTTTGTCATGGCTAAGTTCGTCTAATGAAATCGAGGTTAAAGGGGAATTAAATGATTCTATTGTTGACGCAGGCTTCAAAAACAACAAAGGAACCGACGAGAGTTACCCTTCTGCCTATTTCCTATTCTGTGGTCACCTGTGTTTCTTGTCACCTGATAAAGTCTCTCATCTGAATAACTGTTCTAAAGCTTAGTGATATGAGACAGAAATTGGAAAGCTCATACCTGATATAGTGTTTTATCACAACTTTGATTCCAGAGTTTCTACCAACAACAGCCTTCCACACGCTATCTCCTTCAATTTGCTTCTTAGCAATCTTTTCAGCAAAAGATGCATCCCGTTCAGCAATGTATTCTAATGGAACCTCAAGTTCTTTTAATTCTGCAAAATTTCCATTTCTATTTGAAATGTTGGTAGGAATGTTGTAAGAGCTGTTGCCTGCAAAAAAAGGAAAACTGTTACAGAAAACCATAAGAAGATTAAGTGCCTCAAAGAAAATTTGTTTTTAGAATAAGTGCCTCAAAATGGTGGGCTTGTAACGACTTGAGCATAGTCCCAATGACCTTTATTGACAAAGTTATGACGATTTTATCCAGCTTTGCTTTCCTTAGCATTACATTCCAAAATGTGGCATCCAAAATGTGAAATCTACTGTATTGTTCAACTAATGGGAAAATAAATGGCCATCGAAATGCGGCAGGACACAGTGTATTTAAAAATGGTTAAAGGGCCTCTCCAGCCAAATTTTGCACTTGCATTTTATTGGCTAATCTAAAGGAGTTGGACCTTCTGATCACGACATCGTTATTTGTTTTTCGATATTTTTTACACTATGTGAGATATAAGCTCTTGCATTTTGATAATTGAATTGAATTAACCGACAAAAATTTTTCGGTTTGGTGACACTGTGACGCAATTTTAACGTCACTGTGCATTTCGTTAGTCTCGCCTCAAACCGAATCGAACGACGGCGATTCGCAAATTGAACACTGCAATTGTTGGTGCTCTCAGTTCTGTTCCACCGGCTTTTAGTTTGAGCATTTAGTTGTTCATCGTTTCTGGAAAACAACTTGAAGTGTCAATTTCGATTAATTATACACGAGGGAAGAGCTGGAACAGGAAGCCGTAGCTTTGTAGGCCTACACAGGTGATCAAAACAAAGTCGTCACACAGCATGGACACATTCCGACCCGCAGACTTAGAATAATTGTAAACATTTAATATTTTTCGATCCTAGAAAGCTTAAAAAGATGCAGATGCAATGGAAAATAATAGGCGAAATTCAAAGGATAATTATGTAAAAGATAAAAGACAGTGTAATTAAGTATCGATAAGTGAATGACATGACGTTACGTTAGAATAGCGGGATTGTGAAATTACGGCTTTGATCTATCGGAAATCGTCATTGTTACGGTTGACAGCCATAGAGTTCAAAGGTCAGTTTGCTACCCAGACTAAATGGCGGACGTTACCCGGGAATGGTTTGATTGATTGACAACACAATTTTGTTGTCACTTTTGAACTTGGAGGATAGATTAATGATAAATTAGTTACCAAGTAGATGTTAGGAATACAAGCTCGCTACTTCTGATTTTCAAACAGATATCTTTGATTACAATATGAAACCACGCTACAATAGAAACAATTCTACAATAGAAAAACAAGCTACGCTAGAATAAGAAAGCAAGCAAACTTTGCAACAATATGAAAAGAGCCTTCAAATTGACAAGGCCACCGAGATGGGGGCGAATCACCTCAGGGTCTCATAAAGTAATAGATTCCGTTCTAAAGTGAAATTAACTAACGGTAACAGAAAAGCAAGAAAATAAATGAATTTAGATAAATCTAAAGGGCATGGTCGAAAAAATTTCCTGTCCGCTTCGCTCACAGGGGCCACGTCTTCAATTTTAGCCTAGGGGCCGATTGACCGCCGCAACTATCGCACTATTCGAAACAACCCTATAAAGTGGAACTCTACTAACAAAGATGTGAAACAGCCCCATCAAGATAGGAAACAATGCCACTAACAAGCAAAAGTGTGTCCACCTCCTAACCCATAAATCTCAGACCCTTTTGACATGTGGGAGGCGATTGCCAAGTTTTCCCTCTGTGTAACAGCTAGCATAAATCATTTCATTACCAAGGCTTTCCTGTGTATGCTTCATAACATCAATAGTTGCATCCAAAAAGTCTTTCGAATATGTTGTTTCTGTGCTCATTACTTTAAAAATGTATCTCCCAGTACTCTGAGTTGACTGATTCGCCTTTGATAAATCGTTGAAAAATTGTCCTTTTCCATCACAAGAAGGCCCATTAATGGCAATGTTGCCTCTTACAAAGTAATTTCTATCTCTGTAGCTGTCTAGTTCTTTGATACACGTTACTGCCACTCCGAAAACTTCTTGCACATATTTTGAAACAGCCTTGACACCAAGGTACGGTCGGAGTATAAGCTGGCTTTTCTCACAGTCGTTCATCTTTGAAATCCTTGGCTATTAACTCGTGGTTCGGATTAACTTCTGTGTACATTATGTGAGAAGTCATCGGAGCGCAAAAAATACGAGGGGCAAATCACTCTAAAAAAAATCTCGTACACCTTTTGTGAAAATCCTATTGTTTTATCTGAAAATCCCCAGAAATCCTTTTGTTTTAGGAAAAATCTCGTACGCTATTTGCAAGAGTGAATCACCCCTCGAAAAAATATATGGCTTACCAAACTTACCAAACCGCGTAACAGTAGAGTAAAGAGTGCAGAGTAAGTGATGACGTCACAAAAATCAATTTTTAGAGTTTTACTATTTGACTATATTACACGAACAAGTGTTATGAAATAAAATACTTCTATATGTGCAAAAATGAGATATGGCCACATAAGCACAGGATTTGCGCCATCAAACTAAGTTCTAAAATTTTCTTATTTTGGCATCCAAATTCTGACGTTTTTGTACTAAGAGATTTTAGATGACGTCATATTTCGGTACTCCATCGAAAGTAGTTTGAGTAATGCGAAACAATGACTTCAACGAAGGCGAAATGAAACTTTTAGCGCTACAAGTTTTTTACAAAAAACTCAAATCAGCACTAAGTTCTAAAAGATTTTTAATTTGGCATCCAAATTCTGGCTTGTTAGTACTAAAAGTTTCTAAGCTAGCTTCTTATTTTCAAACCTTGTATTGCCTTATTGTTCTGAAGTTTAGCATTTTTGGAAAAATATGAACGCAAATCCCATGCAGTTCAAATTTTAAAGAATGGTATATTTTCCAAAGAAAAATGAAAAAATTAAAAATGGAAATTTTACAGTTTGTTAATTTTTTTGAGCGTGGTACTAAAGTATCTTAAAATGCTGGCCATCCTATTACTGTTTCTTATAAGTCAGTTTCTTATGAATAAAAATACGTGTAGGGTACATCAACTATCGACAATCGGACGAAAAAATGTCAGCAATCTGGTAGTAAAATTTGATGAGGTTTTGGGAGTGCTCGATGACCAAGTTTCTGTTGCTGGCCGACCAAGATGAGGTTTTCGGAGTGTTCGATGACCAAGCTTCTGTTGCTGGCCGACCAAGATGAGGTTTTCGGAGTGTTCGATGACCAAGCTTCTGTTGCTGGCCGACCAAGATGAGGTTTTCGGAGTGTTCGATGACCAAGCTTCTGTTGCTGGCCGACCAAGATGAGGTTTTCGGAGTGTTCGATGACCAAGCTTCTGTTGCTGGCCGACCAAGATGAGGTTTTCGGAGTGTTCGATGACCAAGCTTCTGTTGCTGGCCGACCAAGATGAGGTTTTCGGAGTGCTCGATGGCCAAGCTGCTGTTGCTGGCCGACCAAGATGAGGTTATCGGAGTGCTCGATGACCAAGCTTCTGTTGCTGGCCGACCAAGATGAGGTTATCGGAGTGCTCGATGACCAAGCTTCTGTTGCTGGCCGACCAAGATGAGGTTATCGGAGTGCTCGATGACCAAGCTTCTGTTGCTGGCCGACCAAGATGAGGTTATCGGAGTGCTCGATGACCAAGCTTCTGTTGCTGGCCGACCAATCTTAAGCTGGTGGTGTTGCTGTCATTGGCAATGGTTATGGTTCGAATCGGCAATCATATTCAAATATCTGTTTGACGGTAAACTACTTAATTTGACTTTTGGTAAGGGATACAAGTTTCCAGCATCTTCTTTCTCTTCTCTCTTGTTGCATCCAACTATCCAGCAATGAGACGGCATGACTTTGCGACTCTCTTTACCAGTGGCAGTTTTAAAGGGGTCCAGGGATATAATATAAAATAATAATAATAATAAATAATTTGTCTAAGGTTGGCGCACTAAATAGACGTCTAATAGCTATAAAGAAGCTAATTAAGGTCAACTATCTATAAAGAATTAGTATTAAATAAATGTATGATACATTATAAAAATGTTTATGGTATAATGTTTTAAATAAAACCTAACCCAGCAATAAATATTTTACACAATCTACAGTCGCATTCTATAGGGTGTGCTCTTAATTCTTTTTTAAATGTTGCCAATGATTGGGACTCTCTTATATTGTGAGGTAGTGTTTGCAACAGTTTTTGACCTAAATATCTCACAGTTTCTATACCATAAGAAGTTGTCCTGGCTTTTGGAATGCAAAGATTTTTTTAGTTCGCAAATCATAATGTACATTTCTTGTTTCAAAAATCTCACTCGTGAAACTAGGGTTCAGGTTATGTTTGGTTTTGTATATTTCTATCATCAAGTACTTTAATTTGTGTTGGTGAATCGATACTGCTTTATCCAATGTCAACAATGCTTCGTAGTCAGCATGACTGTCTTTATAAACAATTCTGAATGCTGTTTCGTGGATTTTATTCACTTTAAGATTCAGACATCTGTCATGGAACATCCAAATTAGGGAACAGTAGCTAAACTGAGCTTTTATGAAGCTGTTCATTAGAAGACGCAGTTGTTCAGAACCCATAAATGGCGATACTCTAGTAAAAGCATGTAACACAAGGATCAGTCCTTGGGCCTCTTCTATTTAATTCATATATTTAATGATTTATTCTTAATGGTAACTAATACTGCAGTATGTAACTTTGCTGATGATACTACGATACTCGCAGCTGACTGTCGATTGGATAAAGTTTTAGAACGGCTAGAAACTGATGCTCTTATTTTATCAAAATGGTTTCCAGAAAACTTTATGAAATTGAATGCAGGGAAATGTCATCTTATTACTTTTAGAACAAACCAAGATAATATTAAGATCATAATCGGCGAGGCCATTGCTGAAGAAAGCTCTGAAGAAAAACTGCTAGGGGTGAAAATAGATAAAAATCCTTATCTCAAAAGTCACGTCTCAAATTTATGCAAAAGAGCCAGCAATCGGCGAGGCCAATGTTGAAGAAAGCTCTGAAGAAAAACTGCTAGGGGTGATAATAAATCTTAATTTCAAAAGTCACGTCTCAAATTTGACTAATTTTGCATACCTGGAATTATTTCGTGGTGATCCTTTATGTTATGTGGTTAAAATTCAAAAATTCTAAAAATGGATTTTTGATGACGTCACACTTTAGAACTCTATTTCGGTTCAAACAGCCTGAATTTGTGGACCGCAAATTTAGAATGGCTTACCACAGGAAAGAAAATCTGCAGAAAATCTTGCCCAATTCAAATTTCATATCATAGTTTATAGAAATTGTATTCCTATAGCAATTGAAAAAGCCAGCTACTAAGATGGTTCAGCCAAAAATAGCATCCTGGGTATTCTTTAAGAGGTCTGCCTTTCACATTTTTCAGCGTATCAAATTCTGTATTCCTGCATACGCCTATCATAATTTACAGTAACGTTTTGCAATGGTAGTAACGTAAGTTCTCGAAAAAGCCGCCTCCCTCGAAGAAGCCCCCCAGCCCTAAAGTATTTTTTGAGAAATAAGCCCACACCCTCGAATAAGCCCCCCAGCCCTAGAGTATTTTTTGAGAAATAAGCCCACAACCTCGAATAAGCCCCCCAGCCCTAGAGTATTTTCTGAGAAATAAGCCCACACCCTCTAATAAGCCCCCCAGCCCTAGAGTATTTTCTGAGAAATAAGCCCACACCCTCGAATAAGCCCCCCAGCCCTAAAATATGTTTTGAGAAATAAGCCCATACCCTCGAATAAGCCCCCCAGCCCTAGAGTATTTTTTGAGAAATAAGCCCACACCCTCGAATAAGCCCCCCAGCCCTAGAGTATTTTTTGAGAAATAAGCCCACACCCTCGAATAAGCCCCCCAGCCCTAAAGTATTTTTTGAGAAATAAGCCCACACCCTCGAATAAGCCCCCCAGCCCTAGAGTATTTTCTGAGAAATAAACCCACACCCTCGAATAAGCCCCCCAGCCCTAGAGTATTTTCTGAGAAATAAGCCCACACCCTCGAATAAGCCCCCCAGCCCTAAAGTATGTTTTGAGAAATAAGCCCACACCCTCGAATAAGCCCCCCAGCCCTAGAGTATTTTTTGAGAAATAAGCCCTCACCCTCGAATAAGCCCTCCAGCACTAAAATATTTGTTGAGAAATAAGCCCACACCCTCGAATAAGCCCCCAAGCCATAAAGTAATTTTTGAGAAATAAGCCCCCACCCTCGAATAAGCCCTCCAGCCCTAAAATATTTTTTGAGAAATAAGCCCACACCCTCGAATAAGTCCCCCAGCCCTAAAGTATTTTTTGATAAATAAGCCCCACCCTTCGAGTAAGCCCCAATGGCTTCGACAGCAATAGGTTTATCCCAATACCAGCGGCGTGATGGGAAGTTTTATGGGCCGGGAAAATCAAGCTTTTAGTGCACACCATTTTGATGCTGATGGTTTAGTGTTTTTATATTATACAATATGTTGTAAATGAATGTCGCAGAGGCAGCATGGAGCCTTACTTACCTTGTTTTCTCACAAATCTGATGTTAGAAATGATAAAAGCTTAAAAGGAAGAAAAATCCAAGGGGCCTACATGAAAAGTTTTGAAAGGCCTACCGGGAAGTTTCCACGCCCCTACCCAATAAATTGATACTTTTAAGGAGGAAGGAAATTCACCTTGGTTATACTTTGGCTGCTGCTCAAGCCCCCACCTTCGAATAAGCCCCCCTCAAGTATACGACAACCCAAAAATGTTTTTTGCAAATTAAGCGCTGTGGTGCTTATTCGAGGAGTTTCTGTCACTTAATCTTTACCTATTGAAATAGTATTGACTGAAATCATGCACTAATGTTGATGATTCGTTAATGATGAATATCAAATTTATGTTTTCAACTTGATTAAATTCTTGATCTATTGTCTTTCTTACTTTTGCTAAAAGAAATAGACTAGCAAATTCAACGGTGCCGTGTAAGGGGGCTCAGAGGGCCCAGCTTTCTTGATAAAATTCAGAAAAGTGAGCGCCTTCTTATAAATGCAAGCGTTTTATGTGCTTGCAACCCTTTATTATGCTATAGATTTTCCGTGAATGAGCGGATTCCCAATCAGTTTTTTCATATGGATCATTGTTTGTATAGTTTGAATATACACAAGCATATACACAGCAAAGAATCTTTAACAAAAATGTATGTACATTGGATGTGATCATAGGTGTTATCATGGGTGCGGTTTCAAGCTGCCTACGGCACGGCCCCCCTCCTAACTTTATAGGACAGTACTACTGAGCAAATT